AAAAAAAAAAAAAAAGACCATAGACTCTTGTATAGGTGTTCCCCCCTGCACACCTGGGGCAAGCCTTCCTTTGGGGGATCATCCCACCATCTGGGAAGCCTCAGCTCTCCCACTCTTCCTCCACCCCCTAGGTGGGGACTTCAGGCTTCTGCAGCAGTTCCTGAGGCCCTCACCCCAGACCGTGGCCTGAGCCTCAGTTCCCTCAGTTTGCTCTCCTGGAAAGTGGGGCTGATTTCTCTGTCCCTGGGTGTAACCAGGAAGGTGACAGTTTGGAAAGAGCTCTGTATCTGGGCATGTGTGTGCCTGTGGATGTGAGCACGACTGGGCCAGTGGGGTGAAGGGAGGGCGGTGAGGTGGGGTGATACCTCTTTCCAACCTCCAGAGGGCCAGGCTCTTTTCTTTGGGGAAGGGGCACTGTCAGCAATGCTGATGGCACTCAGGACCCCTCACCACCCCAGCAGGTGTGTTCAGGAATGAGGGACCTGTCCTCAAAACTCCTATCCCAACCAAGGGACTCCCTGTTCCTTTCCTAACCCTGGCCCCTCACCCATCCAGTCCCTGGGCCCCCAATGCCTGGTCTGGAGCCAACTGCCACGATGCTGGGTTAGAGGTTGAGTCCCCTGGGCACCCCTTTGTTCCTCTATCACAAACTGGGAAATTACTGAGAGGGCCATGGTGAGAGAACAGAAGGAACAGGGGCATCTTGGAGCCCTGCGCCTGGCCTGGGTTGCACAGATGCTCCGACCCCTCCATCCACCCATCCCCACCACTGCGTCTCGCAGCCCTGACTTGGCTGGAGCCTCCTGTCCCCACTTGGGTCACACCAAGGACTGACCACGCCTCTTCCAGAACACAAATTTATTTGGCATTTGGACGAAATGGTTCTCACAGCATCTTAAGAAAAGGATTAGTGCCAACCCAACCAAAAGTAACCCCAAACTAAAAACCCTTAGTGAAAGAAAAACAAAAAACAGGCATCGAGACAATGTACAGTATCGACTCCTTCCTCCACCAGGTAAGTCAGGCCCCCAGGGGGAGGAGGCCCCTCCCAAGAGCTTGGCCTGTACCTCTGGGGGCCCAGTCTCTCCCAGGAGCACGAGAGTCTCAGTTAGGGCTGGCCTCGGGATTCTTCATTGGACCGTAGAGCACAGTCAGATCTTACATAGGGTGGCAACTGGACAGGAGGCCAAGGCCAGCCAGGCAGACCCCAGCTCCCCACCTTGTTCCCCTCAGAACCGCTGTCCAGCAGAGGTCAGCTCCCGGGCACCAACTCCTGCAGACACAGTGGGCAGGGGTCTGGAGCAGCACTGCTCGCGGGCCTTCTGCCCAGCCCATGGACACCGGTGGGCTGAGCACCCTGGTGCCGGGACAGAGCCCGGGCCAGTCCAGAAGCAGGCCCAGTGTCTCAGGTCCCTCTCTCCTCGATGCCTCCCATGTGCCTAATTGGCTCCAGCAGTCCTTCGGTCTCCAGAGGGAGTTCCCCAGTCCCATGCACCTTGTGCCAACCGTCCTGCCCTCTACACATGGTTCTGAGATGTGGGGCCAGAGACATGGGAGCTGTGAAGGCCTCTCAGCTGTAGAGGTCAGGCCCCTCTGTGCTCCGCTGTGGTGGTCACTCCAAAGCAGACACGCTCAGGACACTCACCTGGCACCAGTAAGACCCGTGATTGCTCTCTAGCCCTCAGCTGCCCGGAGCCCAGCACGCTGGCGGCCCAATACGCTTCCTGCTGTCTTCAGCCACCGGCGTGGGCCACATGGGCCCAGGAGGCCTTTCTCGAAGTAGCAGTCCTTTGGCAAGGGGAGCTCAGGCCTGTGTGGCACGCAGCCCACCTGCCTGAGGCCTGCCTCCAGCACTCTGGATCCTGTGATCCTGGACAGGCTGTTCAGAATTTACACCTCTGGCGGGCTCGGGGGATGACAGTTCTGTAGGGCAACTCAAAAATCGCATTCCATACTGGAAGAACACAACGGGTTTCCAATGGGAGAGTGTGAGAACGTGCCACCAAGGTCTGTCACCACAAAGCCCCACAGAAGCACCCAATTCTAGTCAACCCTCCGGTCAGTGCATGCTGGTCTGGAAAGGCTCCACGGGGGACCAGGAGCAGGGCTCCATGCTCTCGGCCTCCACCTCAGGGGTGGAGGTGCAGACCTGGCCGTGCCTCAGTGCCAGCCCCGAGGCCACGGCTGGCCTGGGAAACTGGGGCCTCATGCCCGAGGTCCGTGTACCGCCACCACCTGCAAAACTTGGACACATATGTACACACACACACAGATACACACGCACACACAAAAGGAAAAGATCCAGACATTCAACGTAGAAAAGATATGGATGTGCTAAAAATCGCACAGAACCCGCTTAATCTCCAAACCTCAGAAATGCTAAAAGCCCCGTGTCAGGAGACGAGACCACTGCCCAGGAGCAGGCAATAGGGTCGCTTCGTCCAAAGGCCCCTGGGCAGGGTACCCCGCACCCCAAGCTGCTGAGGAGCACGGGAAGGTGGCATGTGGCCACTGGGCACTCGGCCCCAGTGGTGATAGTGTGCAAGTGGACTTTCAGGAGATGGACACAGCCCGGGGCTTTCATTTCAGCCACCCCTCCCCGCAAAGAAAGAACCCCTTATGGCACAAACAAATGGGGTGAGGGGCAGGCCAGGCCCAGGGGCAAATTCAATAGGACTGGGGGCTCCAGAGGGTAGCAGACAGGAGCCGGCTTAGCCCCCAACCCCCAACAGAGGATCCAGGGCCAGAACACTCATGCCTGGCTAAGGGTCTTGGCCCAACTCCAGGGCTGCCTCTTGGGGGAGCCATGCACAGCAATGCTGGGGAGAAAAATGACAGGGTGGGACCAGGGCCTCCTGGCACAGAACTGGGATTCGCAGTGGAGAGTTCAACCTCCTTCCATGACCCCCTTCTCAGGGCCTCGGGCACCAGCGGTCCAGGACAGCCCCCAGCCCGGGGCAGGGTCACCCTTGATGTTCACAGCTGGGGTGGGGGGGATCCTCAGAGCAGTCACTGTGTAACCTCCAGGGCCGTCTACCCTGAGGCAGACCAAGTGCCCGGACAACAGACAGTCCACAAACACAGCAGTGCCTGGAAGCGCCCCTCCCGCCTCCTGGCAGCTGGGGCTCGGTGGCCGTTTGGCAGGCTCCTCTGGACGGCATGCTGAGGCCAGCAAGCCCACCAAAGCCAGGTGTGGTTTGGCCCCTGCCCCTGCCCACAGTGCCCTCTTTGTTCCCTGCTTCTGAAACGTGTGGTCTGAACGAACTTCGCCATTCTTCTGCCATTTGAAAAGAAACAGACAGGGCCCGACAGCTATGCATGTTTCTGGAGCCCGCCAGGAGACCCGGTGCAGGGGTCTGCTCCCTCGGGAGGCCAGTGCGGTCTGTGTGCGTGCACACGCACGCCATCGGTGGGTGTGTGGCCGTGCAGCTGGGTCCAGGCTCACTCAAGGGCCCTGTAAGTCTCCCGTGGGGATCAAGGTCTTCTTGACAGCAAGACAGCAAAAAGGTACTCTCTGCCCGTCAGGGCCGTGGGCCGGGCCGTCCTCTACACCACGGTACTGAGGGAACTGCGGCTGTGGCAGCCGCCCCCCGGCAGCACCTCTGTGGCCGCGGTGCTCCCGCTCTGGCCAGGGTCAGGGGGTACAAGCAGGGCACTGCTGCTGTCGGCTGAGTCTTCCAGGTCGGCCAGAGAGGCCCCTGCGGCGGGCAGAGGGTGCTCCAGGCGCCGGGGGGATGCACCTTCACTGCTACCATCCCCTGGGGTGGGCGGCCTGGCCTCTGCTGGCTCAAAGGCATCGTCGTCTGCAAGGAGACAGAAGGGTGTCAGCAGGATGGTGCGTCTGGCCCAGGGGAAGAGGGTGGGCTGGACAGAACCAGGGGATGCTCCTCCTGTCTGAACGCTCCCACTATGGTGGGAGTGGGGGGAAGCGGTGCTCACCCCTCACCTTTGCAAGGGGCAGGCAAGGTACAGGGGTACAGCTATGAGCTGGACATACTTTGACAGTCGGCAGAACAAAGTCAGGGGAGAGGAAAAATCCTCTCAGACTTGGTGGGAATCAAAGCAGGGCTCCCCTGACGTGAGGGGGTTACTGGGCTGGCGGCGGCCAGGCCGTGGCTGAAATGCAGGGATGAGAATGCAGGAGGCAGGGCCATGGCAGGCAGCTCCGCACACCTCACAGCGGTCTGCAGAAATCCCTGGTTTGAGGGAAGCTTTGTGGCAGCCCACTCCCTTCAGTGTGCCTGCTCCTTATTACCCAGGCCCTCTCCGAAAGCTTGGGGCGTGGGGGCCCAGCGTGCCCCTTTCCACTGGCTGGCTTCCCCCAGGCTCAGCAGTCCTGTTACCCTGCCCTGGGGAGCATGTGCTCCCTTTAAGCCGGCCCCATGCAGGCATCTGGGACCTGCTGCCCCCCGGCGGCATCCCTGGCAGGAAGCCTGTTCTACCCTGAACCCCCCCGACAGCAGACGGGCAATCCGTGTGCGCAGGGGTCAAATCCAGGTCTTGCCCACAGACCACAGAGGGGAAGTCTCGGTCCCAGTGAACACAGCACTGCTGGCCCCATGACCCCCGTTCTGCTGGGGTACGTGGATGTGCAGGGAACTGGCCACCTTGGAGGAGGGCACTGCCCGCTGGTGTACCGCAGGGGGTCGTGTGTGTGAGACCGTGTTAACACACCGGCAAACGGGACGGGACGCCTGAGCTGCACACCAGGCACAGGGACAAGCCAGGCAGCGGGTGAGGCACCCGGCATTCCCTCTGTGCTACACGGCCCTGGGAGGAATGAGCTTCCACGGTGTCAGATGGACAGCAGATTCAAGTCATCGGGCCAACATCACAGAACCAGTGCTTTCTTCACAGAACTGCTTCCAGACAGGAGGGAACGTCATGATGGCGTCTCTTCAGCTCACTACACGTACACATTTGCCTTTATGGCCGGGCAGTTGGCTCTGGGTGGCCCCCTGCAGCTCTGGGCTCGCCCTGACCCCACAGCCACCAGCACCCGGCTCCCCAGCTCTCCGCAGAGCCCAGCTGCATGTGCCCCAAGGGCTGCTTGCTAACAGGTGTTCACGGGAGGAAGGTGTGCTCATCTGCACAGGCAACCCTGGGAAGAGCCCACCTACCGACAGTGGTTCCTTCCACCTGAAGGGAAACTCAAGGGGAAAGCAGAAGGCCAGGAAGAAGCGGAGGTTCAGGGCCTCATGGACTGGGGAGGAGGACCACCGAGCCCTTGGTTAGTGACGTGCTGCCCCCTTGTCCCTGGGGGGGAAGCACCTGCGGGGTCGTAGAACACGCTGTCAGGGTTGACGGAGGCCTCGTAGGGCGGCGGCGGATCATCAGGCTGGTCGATGTCTGGGTACTTGTATGCGGTGTAGGGAGGCGGAGGGTCGTGGAAGTGGAACGTGCCACCTTCCCCGTCATCAGAAAGGTGTAGTGGTGTGAGGCCGGTCCCGAACCCGTCTGGGCCATAATCAAAGCCGGGGATCCTCCGGCCGAGGTTGAAGTGGTGCACTGGGCAACCGCAGGGAGAGACAAGCCAACAGAGCCATGTCAC